GAAGCAGGTTGCTAGAAAACAATAGATGATTAAGACTTGTCATACACGCTATCTTATTTAGCTTAAAATAATGTGCGAATAAATTCCGTCGAAGGCAAACAACCTTATTGACGTCTTCAAAATCAATATTAGGAATACAGAAAACAGATATTCCTCAAAGGTTGCAATCAAATCTTATTAGAGATTTATCCCAGCTAATGACAAAAGGATGGTTTTTCATTTAAAGTCAGATATCTCCGCGCCAAATAATCGTATCAATATTCCGAAAATAGGATATTGAAGCTGAATAAACGGCACGGGTATCATATAAAAAACCTACAAAATGCCAAAAAAAAATATAAGATGTCAACTTGCAGACTAGGCAATTTTTAGGGCGCAGTCATTTCACATTTGCTCACTAGGATCGATGTGAATGTCCATCTATGAAGGAATCACTCAACTAAACTACACGCATTATTGGTTGCATAGTTTTATGAGGCTGAGTGATCCGTGTCTGTAGTTTTTATCTCTGAGAAGAAAGTTGTTTGAATAGCAAGATCGCATCTGGATGATTATATGTATTGGTCTGCATGTGTAAATAATCAGTGATACTTGCTGTGTGAGAAAATCATTACTGAATATATTGAATATGATGGGTTATTTATATGTTGTGCTTTCTGAAGAGAGGTTATTTTCAAAGTTATAAGTTACGAAAAACTGAGGAGAATTACGGGAAATCATCACGGCCCCCACGTTGTGTGTAATTACTGTTAGCAAGTATATGGCTTGTACTTCGACAGTGTTCAGTGAATATAACTATTTCCGATCTCTCTCATTTTTGAAATTCAGTAAATTTGTATATCTAATTTCCAGAATGTATAAGAAAAAGTGGCTGCGCAATCAATTTCTAGCTTTGAATCACGATTAAGTGTATTTGAGACAAGAATCCAATGGAGTTATCATCAACACATACAACTTACAACTTAGACCCCCAGTAATGCCATCTCTCAGCAGATTTTACATAAAATCAGAGCCAAACATTGATAACTAAAGCCTCATGACGTTCTGGCAACACGTACAACTAAGTGCTAAGTTAGCATCTTTTAGAAAAACCTACATAATGAATGTAAAAAAAACAGCATTATGTAAAAAAAATCGGCATAATGTCTCTTTTCGAAATACGTGATACCCATGCCGTCTGATCCATATGATGAACTAACGGACAAAAATTGTTTAAGCTCGTGGACCTAAGAAAGAGAAGAAAAAAATGTTACAAAAAGAATTGCATGTTGCTTCTAAAATTGTTCAGATAAAAAACCTAAAGGCACGCTACAAAATGCTTTTTTTAAAGTCTATATACGACGCAACGAAATACAGCCAGTCAAAGATCACCGAAAGATTTTGATTTTTTTTGCCTCCATACTTTTTTTGAGTAGTATATTTCAATAGGTTACGTTAGTTATGGTTGCTGGTGACGTCGCCATAGCGTCCCGGTGGGGTGTTAGGTGCTTTGAACTGTCAAGGAAGTTCTTCCAGTCAATGGAATTTCCTCTCTGTGGGGCGCATCAACTTTGGAAAGCGTGCATGTTTGAACCTTGTTTAAATTAGCTCTACACGAATATATCAATTTCCTCTCAGCACTTAAAAATACTGCATTCTGAGGAACTGAAAACCTCCAGGCACTTAGTCAGATAAGGAGTATTTTCTCCAGTTGAACCGTAGGAATCGATCTGATACCCCGTATACCTGCATATAAGGCGCTATCACTCGTAAAGTAGCAAAGCTGCACAACAAATCCACTTCCTTTCTTTAATCCTGTTTCCTTAGTTTTCTACTCATAAATCAGGTCACCTGTATGAAGTCGAGAATGATTTGAGGGCACTCCCCACAAAGTTATCCATTTCCTCATTCGGAGCTCTCTCCAAATGCGCGGTTTATCTCTATTTTTACGTGACGCAGTTACATCCGGAGGGACGATTACCCCAAGACCCTTAATTTTTTACAACACCTCCAGTGTGGCTCATGGCTCGTTGAGGTAAATATTATATCCGGTACTTGAAACTTAAAGTTGCCTGCTCCATCATCGCCGCGTGCTGTCACTTGGGACGCACAGCAAATTTATGGTTTAATTTCGCCGAGATTGCAGAAAAATAATAATTGTCTCCGGTATATCTCACTGGTTGTAATTAAATGAATCGTCAACGGTGATTAATTTGTAGGTTTTACACAAGCACAAGGAGACAGATAATACTTTTCTTTCGCCATATGATTAATCGTGAAACTGAAGATGAGCATGTACATGCTGCGGCAGCAAACTTTGATATGTTTCCAAGGTGATGATGCACATGGGAACCGGAGAGCTAGTGCTGAAATAGCCAGTGGTATAATTGTTCAAGAATTTTACACCTAAAAAATAGAACAAAGTCTACCGATTAGACGTCAAATAGGTTGACTCTACACTTCCCACGCAACTCCGTCATCACTTATAGGCATAATAGGCCTTATACCCTGGTTAGAGGATAGTTGCCATGCCCTCGTTTGTCATCCCAGAGACCATGATGATGAGCTTCCAAAAAAACCTGAAGCAGCTGTCCATGTTCGGCTATCTTTGATCGGATGTTCAAATTAGACCTGTGCCCTATTCTTGACTTCAATAGAAAATCACACTCCCTCTCTTTTTCTACTCCCCCGGTTTTCTGTCGATTCGAAAATACTGTATTCTTGAAAGGTCTCGATAGAAAGGAGAAAGGAAATTAAGACACAGGGTTGCCAAGTTTGAGTAAACGTGTTAAACCAATCAAAATGGAGATAATTTTGACAGTCAAAACCTAACCTAAGATTTTGGTAAATATTTCCTCCTTATAATTTTATCTATGGAGCCGAAAACTTTAAAAAAGCACATTACAAATGAACCAAAGGACAAAATGATTGAGTTTCTTCGAGAGCAGCCCCAAATGCACCAGGGAAAACTCAATCATAGATTAAAGGATACTGTTTTAGAATAACTAAAACTTAATATCAAGGACTCTTGCCTTTGCTTTGATCGAAGCAATTCATACACCAAATCTTTGGTCAATCTAAACATCTGTACAAATTTTCGATCCGATATTATGAAAGGATCTCGATGCCCCAGAATATCTCTCCCAATCTCCCATTCCTCAGCTGCCTCCTCTACATCCCCGTTAATAATACCGTTCCAGTACATCAATTGATTGAAATTAACCATTTTTTGCAATATGTTTTGCAGGAACGACAATAACAATGTCAAACACGTCAATTTTTAGGTTATATAGCGCTATTTTTTACTAATTTTTCCAGTTTCTCTTGGTCGGTAACAAGCGAAATCGCGACTCCCTAAAGTGAATTCATTTCTATCACTTTTCGGTAGAATTGATTTCAATAATACTGCATTTCTTGGCCACACCCACATTTTGTCACTTTTTCTCACAATTTCTACTCCCTCAAACTCAAGAATAGAGGTCCTGGTGAGAAAGAATTTAGGTAAGAAAATGTACAACAGACAAATCAAACGGATCAAGTACGTCATACAGGTTCATACAATTAGTCCAGAGACATCCTTTCCCATGCCTACCCGTAATACCGGCCATCTGGCAACGTCGCCTCTCTCCAATAACACGATGCGTCAGACATAGCAACACGACAGAGTGTCAGTCATACGAGGACGCTTATAAATACCGATCGCCAGCCGATGAATCCAGGCAGCGGTCGCAGGGACTCGTGACGAAAACAGTTCGTTCTAAGTTACCTGGACTGGAAGGGTACTCCCTAAAACACGCCTCCCCAAAATTTTTACCCCTGAAAAATCTCTTTCAAAATGACCTGGATCAAAAAACGAAGTTTGAGCGTTCTTCATCGTTACGTTTTTGACTTTTTTTCTCCGGCGCCCGTGAACCTATTTTCACAAACTACAAAGCTTTTTTGTTCTTGGCATATTAGTAACCCCGAGTGAAAATGTCATCCAAATCCGAGCAGTACTCTCCAAGTTATAGACGGGTCAAGACTTAAGGGACAGACAGACCAACAAACCGACAGACATGGTTTCTTTTTTGCAACACTCAAAACAAACATAGAAGACATCGTAAACACTAAAATTGTTGCAAAAGAGGTAGTCGAGTCTCTTTATCACTATGCCACTTTTGGTTTCTGGAAGGTAACGAAATAGACACAGCCTTCGCATAAATTCAGAGTTGCACACTACCCTCGTGATGTCGTGTCTGTGGAGCTGCTACCATGACTATACCATATGTGCTTGATGTGGTTCAAATGAGGGTATATTAGAGCAAATACTGTATAATTATAACTAAGATTGTACAGAAGCGTGGGAACCGTAGTCGAACAAGCTTGGACAATTACAAAACACACACGTACTTCACAGCTTTTCGCCAGCAAATACCTTAAATATGAGTAATATTAACACTTGTTACAACATCAGAAACTTTCATGGACAATGACTCTCCATCTGTTATTCCAGTAGCCATTTACATGAATCTTACGCATAGTGCTTTTTGTTGTTCACTTATCTTAATACGTGGATTTTATTTAATATCACTATTCTATTCTTTATCTAACGCCAATATTATACAATCAGGATTTACTGTGATCAGTCAGTATTTATCATGGAATTTAGTATTTATTTACCGTGTTGCCAGGACATCAGAAATTATTTATATGCGGTTACCTAGAAATCCACTGACACTAACGGAATGATAGTAATTACTGATGGTACTAACCACAGTAAATATCGACCGTGTGGCATTCACCTAAGAGTACAATTGGCATACGATTTGTAGACCTTCACCGTTCATTGCAGTTTAACGCTTATGATGTTACGTGCAGGACGAACGTAAAAACTGCTTATATTTTAGAGAAGCATGCCGACGAGTATCGCTCGCTAGGTTTTGATTGTAAACGTCAAAAAATTTCATTCCGCGAATTTTTTTTTTCATATTTGCGAAAGAAGACGAGACAAACAATGGACGTGGACCCAGAATGGTCGGTGGATGGTCGGTCCTCCACTAGCAATGCAGTGTCTACCAGAACAGCAAGATGAAAACCCAGATATGGCAGATGACAGCAGCAACTCTACCATCCAGAGGCTGACGACTATCATTGAAAGGCAGGTCCACCAGATAGCACAACAGGCCCAGCAGATTATAGACCAGGCGGACCTTATCAAAAGCCTCAATCATAGTATTGACTGCATGAGGGCCCAAGTTACAGCACTGAATACACAGCTAAGTAGAAATTCCCGTAGTGACAGCCTTAAACGTAGACCTGAAAATCAGAATCCAGTTGACGACGACGCTCTTTCTGATGACAGCGTACAGTGCAACGGGTATACACGGGCCAGACCAAGAAAAAAAAGAGGCGGTCAGATGTGCGACAGAAGACTTCTCTCCTTTACCAGAATAAAACTCAGTGGAGGCTCTCCCATGCCGCTGGTAGTGGTGATACTGCCTAAACACGAAAAATAACGAGTTATCCAATGAAAAAGAACTAGTAGAGCTCTCAAGTAAGGTTGAGGTTCAAAAGATTAATAAACTCGTTGGTCAGTGTCACCGTTGACAGAGCTATGGCACGCCCAGTCTTACTGTACAGCGCCACCCAAATGTTTAGAATGTGGGCAGGGCCACTCAACACATTTGTGCCCTCAAACAAGACAAGAGGTGCGCAAATGAGCAAGCTGCGGGGAGGGACACCCTGCCAACAGTCCAACGTGTAGGTTCACTCCCAAGAGGAACCTGCAGGTTATAGCCCAGAGACGCAATAAATCTTATGCTGAAATGACAGCTGGGCAGTCAGCTCGTCACTTCAGCTGCAGCTCCTCCTTTGAACTCTCAACCTGCTTTTCTCAAAGTTATGTTGTAGGTTGAGAGACGTCGTGTCGGTACGAAACGAGAATTTAAGCAGGCCCTTTTGAAAGAGGCTATTGATGTGGTATTGCTGCAGGAAACATTTTTAAAACCCGGAGATCGCTTCGTCTTTGCGAATTACTATGTTATCCGGGCTGACGTGTTGAATGGGAGAGGTGGCGACTTGGAGGTGCTTGTCAAGCATAGCATTAACTACTACAGAAACGTCAATGCTGAAATGAAAAGCATTGAAGCTGCCTAGGTAATGCTCGCTTTAATGGGAGGAATTCCATTGAAAATCACAATGGCGTATGTGATTGTTGCAGGGGATTTTAGCTGCAAGCACCGTGCATGTCACTCCGATCTGAACACTGCTTGTGGTGAAGCTGCAGTTAAGCAGGCGAAAAAGTTGTCATCCTGATGACATCCGTAGAGCTACGAATTTTGTTCACGAAGTACTAAACGTACTTCACGAATTCCGAAACGAGCAATGGAACGACTTTCTCGGAGGAATGCTTGACAACGCTTCTCCTCTTTGGAAAGTAGCGAAGTCGTTCAAAAACAGTAAACGGGAGCAACTTCCGCACATCCAAGGCTCTGAAGGTATAGCCTTCAGGACTGAGGATAAAGCGAGAGTTTTTACTGATATCACGAAATAACACTTTTCGGCAAATTATGATATCAATAACGATGTCGACGAGAGACGAGACATTCCAGGATCTGTTAGGAGGTATTTTGCTGTTAATGACGCCAGTGGCAGCATTGCTGGAGCTGGTGGATTCTCTTCGGAAGATTACTCTTCGGAAGATTCTTCAACAGAGGCTCTGCATAGCACACCTACGGAGTCATCAGTGATTTCGTATTGCACACAACATATCTTCAAGGTCATATTCATCTTAAGGTGCTTAACCAGATATCGAAGGCAGAGACATACCTGGTAACAATATCAATGCAATACTCAGGCTCCTTTACTTCCCAGAGGCGTGGAAGATCGCTAATGTCACCATGATGCCAAAGAAGGTAGGTTCAATATTTCCGCAGTATTATCACCTCATTAGCCTGCTGTCCGCTCCTTCTAAGCTCGCCATAAAGTGATTTATGGTAACCGTGAGAATTTTTCGTCAGATCTCCAAGTGCTTTCTGACGTTCAATTCTATTTTCGGTCTGAGCATAGTACGGAACTATAGGCAGTCAGGTTGGTGGACCACGTAAACAGCAAGTTCAGCCATGACAAAAGCACGGAAATCCTTTTTCTGGATGTCGCGAAAGCTTTTGACAAGGTGTGGCACGCAGATCTCCATAATAAACTTATTCAAAAGGGTTTCGCTTTTTGGCTATTAAAACTACTTAAATCCTTCCTAGAGTGAAGGAAGATCAAAATCAAAATTGAAAATGTATTTTCTACAACATGGCGCTTTCCGCAGGGATCGGTCTTAGGACAACTGTTATACTCGATTTTCATTCACGACGTCCCCCAGTTCAGCGATTGTGATGCCCACCCCTATGGCTTTCGACACCGCATTAGTAGCCGAGTCATGTTCTAGTGACATAGTCCCTGACAGGCTGCAAGAAGCGGTGGACCAGGTTTTAGAGTGGGCGAATCGTAAGCTGATCAAAATTAACTTTTCAAAGGCACAGGCTATCGATTTTACAAAAGGTTGCCGTGGTGCCCCATCAGAGACTACTGTGGATGACGTTTCGATACCATGGGCTTACAGCCAAATATTTAGGTCTCACACTAGACAAGAGTATGACTTGGCAGGCACACATTGAACAACTGAAAATTAAAATCCAAATTACAGTTCTCTCTTATGTATGTGGAACCTCAAAATTGAGTTTGATCAATAAGATTTGGATATAAAAAACCATCATCAGTCCTGCAATAACCTACGCATGTGGGGCTTGGTGCTTTCTAGCTAAGTCATATATGCGTAAGCTACAAGTTATGCAGAGTAGAACTCTTAAAACAATAACTAATACCCCAAAGTATGTATCAAACGATACCATCCATGGACATCCCCTACCTTAGGGATTACACCATAGGTATGGCACAACGGCGCTACCAGCAAGCAAAATCGCACAGCAATCCTTTGTTGTGTGAAGCAGTGGGTACATAGTCGAGGAGATACGCAAACATTCCAGGCCGCGACTCGTACTGTGAACAAAATTAAATTCATATTTAAACCCCCAAAAACATATTTTTAAGACCCAAATACCTAAAATTTATACAGTACAATGTAACAGTCCCCAGATCCATCTCACGTCAAATATTCACTTATACCAATTTATTTTCTTTCTCTTCTCGCTCATACTTCCTTCCTTTCTTTCTCCCTCTCCCCTCTCCCCTACAACTTGTATGGTTTCTGGGCCATCAGACCTGACACACTGATGACAGTTACTGGTATTGCAGTGACTATGACCTAAAGGCTAAGGTCCTCCGGACCGCCTTGAGGAGGAACGGCGAGCAGAATGTCGACGAGTTGTTTCCACTATAACGATCGATTCTACTTGGCGGAACTGGTCCCTTCCTTTAAGTGTTAAGAATATGTAACGATTTTTGGATCTCATTTAATCTCCTCTCCTTAACCTGTTTGTAACAGTTGTGGTACTCGGGTGTTTACTTTTTGTATTCGCACCTACCTGAATAAAAAGATAATTCTGATGAAGTCCACCAACTGGGGCACTCTTTTCCCAGCGTTCTTGGCACTGTAAATGGACACAGTCATTGTTTCCGTTTTAGTCTGTGACTCCCACCCTTATTTATTCAAACAGTTTCGGCTCCCGTATATCAAAAATACTTAAGGTTCACATTGACATGCTGCTGCCTAGCAGACGTCTTGCAAAATGATGGATCCCAACTTTACAAATTTATTTTATAACGGAATCACTCCGTCCCAGCTACACCAATAAAATATTAATTTAGAACGGGTAGGCGCTTGCCCGTAAAGCGTTTTGTGAAGTGAACTGTCTAATAAAATAATTTAATGCTCCCATAATCACACATGGATGCGCTAAAATTAGAGCTAAAGCAGGATTTACAAACTCTGTATATGAACATTTGACAGTGTTACACTGTGGAACGTATTAATAGTACCTGAAATTCGTATAAAGCCCTGTTTTTTCACATTTTTTCAAAATGATTCTAGAAACGACGTGCCAGACCCTTAGCACAGTTTCAACCGCCTGCTAAGCATCCCTGCAATTTAAGAAATTCGAGTTAAACTTTCGTCATAACATAAAGGCTGAAATTTATGCAAGGTGTCCAAAATAACGATCCTATGCATGGGGATGTCAATACCCTTGGGAGATACAGCTTAGGTTGGATTATAAAAAAGTTGCGTTCTTTGGGGCGTGTTTATATGTCGTTGAGAAACTAAAATTTGCCCAAATCGTTTTTATTTTTTTCCTGAACTTATCTTAAGAAATATCAAAAAGCTGATGGAACTTTTTCATTGGCACTTCTTGGTCACTACGTGATGGTGTTTATAAATTTTGTGTCCGACGGTTCGTTTTTAGGAACCTATCATCAACTTTATATGGTCCGAAAAAAAGTACTCCCACTATATAATAGCATTTTTTATACGAATTCGACGATGTATCATACATCAATCCATTTTTTCTGTTTTTGTATTTTTTTTCCAAGTTAGCATTGCAGACAAATACTTGAAGTAAATACCTATCACCGAGTATTGTGTATTGGTAATATTGCTTTTTTATCTTCAAAGATGCCAAACTGTCATTTTAGCATTAAAGAAACGTCGACATGCTGACATGCTACATTTTGTGCTACAAAAATACTAAAAATACTGCAGATATGTATCTTGATAAAATTACCGAAGGCAGCCAAGTAAGTCTATTTTCTTAGAGTTTGCTCGAAATTTAATTGAATATGGTTCATTCAGATAGCCTGTTACGTCTGGAAAAAAATGAATCTTTAGAGGAAAGTCAGAATAGTGTCTTACAAGCAGTTGCTGACAACTCTGAGATGCAAACTAGGTAAATTAAGAAAAATGTAGAACTAGCCAAATCCACAATTCTCTTTGCATGAAAATAGATCACCCCTATAAATCTAGGAATGGCCAGGAGATAGCGAACGACGCCAGCGATTTTGTGAGCGGTACACACGAACGTGTGAAGTTTTTCATTTCCTTTCAAAAATAATATGGTCCAACGAGAGTACAGGGTTTGTCCGGAAAGTAATAGGACTGAGTCGATTTAATAAAATTTATTGAGCAAATCGTTACAATTCTTTAAAAACTTTCAAAATAGGCTCCTTCTGCGTCGGTGCAGCGCTGCCAGCGCGATTCCCAAGCATTGAAGGCGTCACGGAAGGCATTCTCCGGAATAGCCTTGCGAGCCGCGGTGCATGCTGCTTGGATCCCCTCTGTCGTCTCAAAATGCTTGCCATTCATCGGCCTTTTCAGGCGAGGAAACAAAAAAAAGTCCGGGGGGCACATCTGGGCTGTAGGGCGGCAGCGGAAGCGTTGGGATGCCGGCCTTGGTCAGGTAGCTGTTCACAAGAAAGGCGGTGTGAGCCGGGGCGTTGTCGTGGTGCATCTTCTAGTCGGCTGCGATGTCTTGTAGGACCCGACTGACCCTTCGTTTGAGTCTCCTTAGCACTT